GGCAGGGGTGTGCACATTGTGGTGGTGGCAATTAACTTTCACCTTTCAGAAATTCACAACCCCCAAAGATCAAGTAAAGTTCTTCCCTTAAGCAGGCTGGGCAAGTCCCTACCCATCAGGCCCAGCAGGACTAGGGAGGGTGCCCCGAGAAGTATAGAGAACAAAGCTTCCAGACATGGAAAGAGAACCCAGTTGCACCATGGAAGGCTTTACTCATTTGTCCAAGTGACTGAATTTAACCTCTCTGAGCACCAGTTTTCCCAGCTGACAATTGGAGGCAACACTGATCTTACCTTCGCTTTTATATCATTGCAAAAATAATAGCAAAGTATGTATTCAGGAATTCAGCCTTGAAAACATACAGATTTATATTGCAGTCTCTCTTATTAATAAGTGCTTATTACATGTTAAGTGTTCAATAATGTCAACTATTTGCGTGAATGATGATACTTATTATTTAAGGAAAGCCCAGACCAAGCTATTATTATTATCATCATCATCATCATTATTATTAGTCTTTTGGAGACAGGGTTTCACTATGCAGTTCAGGCTGGTCTTGAACTCACTTGGTCGCCAGGCTGGCCTTAAACTCATGCTGATTCTCCTGCCTCGGCCTTCCAAGTGCAGAGATCACAGATATGCACTACCATACCTGGCTCAGGGCTCATTTGTGAACAATAAAAAGAGGAAAGCTGGGCATGATGGTAATGGTGCACACCTGTAATCCCAGCATTCAAGAGGCTGAGGCAGGAGGATTGCTGTGAGTTCAAGGCCAGCTTGGGGAAAAAAAAAAAAAAAAAAAAGAGGATGATAGCCACTTTTGGCAGTGCATTCCTAAGTCCCAGCACTCTAAGAGGCTGAGGCAGAAGGATCACAAACTCAAGCCCATCTGAACAATTTAGCAACTTAGTGAGACCCTGTCTCAAAATTAAAAATAAAGAAGCTCTTGAGGATGCAGCTTAATGCCTGAAAGTCCTAGATTCAATCCCTAGTACTGTACTTAAAAATAAAAGGTGACAGAGAGCCAGAGTTGGGGGAGTAACTCAGTGACAGATCATGTGGTTTGCATGTGCAGATCCTGGGTTCATTCCCAAAGGGAATAAAGAAGGGGGAGCAGAGTGGAGCTTTTCTTAGACTTGGTTGCTTCTTTTAACCAAGTATGGGGTGTGGCTGAAAGGAATGAGGAAGCAGTTTACTAGATGACAGGGCACAGAGCACTGTTTGTCTTCAAAAGTCTTGAGGGAGGACTAGTGTTAACTGACCCTCCCCAAAACTCAGAGGTCCTTGTCCCTTATCCTACCCCTGTATTTGCCACCCACTTAACGCTTTGCTGTCCCTTCCTCTAAATCTATTCACAAAGTCCTGTGGAAGCTGCCTTTGAAATAATAACAATAGTAATAAGACTACCAATGTGGTTACTTTGAAGCTTACAAAGGCTTTTAATACATTATCCAAGTTATTCTTCATTATGTCCTTGCCATTTAAAGAATCTGGACTTAGGAGGGACTTTGGACATCATTCTGCATTTCACCGATGGAGACAGTGAAATCTGAAGAAGGGACAGGATTTACCTGAGACCAATAAGTGAATGGAAGAGGCAGGACTAGAACCTACAACTCCTAACTCCCAGCCTAGGGCCAGTTCCCCCTGCATCGTACCTGTCCTCGGCTTTCCCTTCCCACTAGCACCAGTCTGTTTTCTCATTTTCTGGTCCAGTGCTTCCTAAATTGTCCTTTTTGCCTCTGGGCCCTCCCCATAGTTTCTTCTACATATCCCACCACATAATGGTCTGGAAGTAGTAGTAATCTTAATCTTATCTTTCCCCTCCTAAAAGAACTGGTTCATTTTTCAACTTGGTTAGAAACTGGCTCTTGACTCAATCTCTCAGTGAAGAACCAATCTGAATACGTTTATTGACGAGGTGTTCATACCCCCAAGGTGGTCTATTCCACCCACAGTGAGCTGAAACTGAGCTCCTGGATGTTCACACTCAACCCGAGTGCAATTCTTTAGTTAGCAAAGTCATAGTCATATGAGCCAGGTTTTGGGTAGACCATGTGCTAAAGGGGACAGAAAGAAAATTTGAAGAAAAAAAAAGAAAGAAAGAAAATTTGACATGGATCCTTCCCTCAGAGGATCCCTAGAGGTTTATTTCTGTGGATTTTTTTTTTTTTTGGTTTATCAAATTTAAATAATAGGAATATGTCTCATGCCTTTTCTGCATGGCAGCACTTCAAATGCCTAGAGATAGCCATATCACACGATAGCCAGGTCCTCAACATTCTAGTCTCTTCCTTCAGACATGTTCTAGAGTAACAGCAGTGCGCTCCCTCAGCTGAGTCTTGTGTTCTAGCTATCCAGGGCAGCACAGAGTTGGCCTTATCACTGTTATCTGGTTTTGTCTTTTTGAGATAGGGTCTCAAAAGCAGTTCCGGCTGGCTATGGGCTCACCGCTCACTTTGTAGCCCAGGCTGGGCCTCCAACTCACAAAGATCTTCCTGCCTCAGCCTCCCGAGTGCTGGGATTACAGGCATGCACCATCATGCCCAGCTTGGTTTCTGTTTATGTGGTATCTCATATTCATTTCCGATTTCCTCCCCCTCTCCTCCCTCCCTAAGTTACTTCTTTCTTGTTCTGTCTTCCCTTTCCTTCTTTTTTTCCTTCCTTTCCACTCAATTGCTTTACTGAGCTCATGGTCAATTAAACTTTTGAAATCATTGCTACTGAAACTGCTCTTAATGTAGATTCTTTCTATACTGTATTTTGGGCCCTTGATCATTTACAATGGTGCTGCTAAATATAGCAGTTACTAGCTCCATGTGGCTAAAGTACTAAAATTAAATTTACAGTTCCTCATTTTTAATAACCACAGTTCAAGTGTTCAGTAGCCACAGCTAGCTAGTGGCTACCATAACATTTCCATCATCAGAGTAAGTACTATGAAATGACTCTGGTTTGGACTAAAAGGCAAGTTTTTTTTTTTCTACAGTTTTATTGATAAACAGATAGCAATGAGACAGTTTCAAATCAAATCAAGGCAAGTTATTTTGTGTGGCATATTATATTGTGAGTTCCAGCTCAGACTGTATGGCTCTTGAGATCTTTTGGAATCTTACTCTCGTTTCCAGAGTATTTGCTGTCCCAGCCTCATGACAGCAGTAGATTTAGTCATCATTTCTTATCTCCTTTGCTTCATCTAAAACTACTGATAAAAATCTCCAGTAGAGCAGAAAGGGTTGCAACCAAGCCCTGGTGAGGCACTCTGCACTCTGGCCTCAGACAGTCAAGTGGTTGTTTAGCAAATTAGGCCCACATATCAGGGGCTGTGCTGGGTGCCAGTAACCTGTGGAGAGATTGAAAACAGCAGGAGTCCTGCTACAGTGGGTGTCCTAGTGCAGAGTGTCTTTGCCTCACCTCCAGGGGTGGCCTGTGATTCCTGAAAGTGAAGGTTTGAGATTCAGCTTCTTGGTTTGGACTTGGCTCTGCCACTTTAAAACTATGCAGACTTTGTATTCCCCTTTAAACATGTAAAAGGGGCAGTAAGAATAGCCTCTATCCCATGGCATTACTGTGCAGACTGAACAGAGTTAATGCAAATAAAACACCAAGGAAACTACTTGGAATAAATAAGTGTTCCAAACATGTTAGCTATCATTCGTTCTTATGCGTAATTATCATTTTTCTCTGGAACTTTCCAAGCTATGGTATAAAAGAAACCTGTCCACAAACCATGCTCAGTCCTGCACTGGGGCTTCACCTTAGTTCTTGCTGCCTGGAGACAGTCCTGGGCTAGGCTTCTGATCTGCAAAATGGGGAGAACGACAGCTGTTACTTCAGACGTAGTCCATAGTCCATAGTCCCGGACAAGTGAAGCAAAGTAGGTCAAAGTAAGTACTTGCCTGTAAGAGGCTTTTGCCAAGTCCTGACTCTCAGTGAAATCTGTGCGAGTGCCTGCCATTTGCTTCTTCCTCATGTTTATTTGTTTAGACTCTAACAAAGCAGGCTCATCATTCCAGGCAGCTCTGGAGGCCTGACTCTGTCCCAGGGGCCCTAGGGCAGGAATTCCCTCCGTTTCTTCATCTATGCAATGGGGACACTAATGGATGCCCTACCCTTCTTACAGATGCTATCTTGGGCGACCTGTTCCTTGGGTTATTTCCTTTTCCTAAACCTCAGTCTGTGTTCAAAGTGGTACCCTTTCTGGTGGTTATAATCCTTATTTTGTGAATCCGTGCATGCCTAGGGCCGTGGAAGGTAGGCATCAGGGTCTCAGGGCCAGGGCCTCAGCTTTTGAGGGTCCCCAGAGGCCAGAGTTACCTCCACCTGAGATGGGCTGATATGCATGGCCCGATCTTCCGCTAACTCAGGCCGCAGAACAATAGGAGGGCGGCGTGGAGGCGGGTGGGCGTCGGCCAGGTCTTCGGCCCAGATAGCCACAGCCAGCGAGCTGCCGGCGGGGCCGAGGGGTTAGCTTGGGGGACCGGGCCACGCGCCCAGGCGTCTAAGCCAGGGAAAATAGAGTCGGTGCTTGCAGGGACCTGGGAGGAGGCAGGGGCGGGACCTGCGCCCCCCGGGCTGGGACGGCGAGGGCGCGGAGGCCCGGGTGGGGTCTCCTCGTTCTCTTCCTCGCCTGGCCGCTTGCCCTCCGACCTCGGAGCTCGGTGGAGGCTCAGGTAGGCGCGGGGCCCACGTGGGGAGCGGGCGACGGACCTCGCGCCCGGCGGGCTCCAGGGCTCAGCCTCCACCTCCGTTGCCCTCCCCGGAGCCCGCGAGCGGCTCCTCCCGACGAGCAGCACGAGCCCGGACGCCCAGCGGCTCCCGCAGCTCCCGCAGCTCGGCGCTTCCCCGGCTGGTGGCGATAGCCGCCGCTGCCCGCCGCCGCCTCAGCAGCCGGGATAGCCGCCGCCTCCTCCCGGGGAGCCGGCCGGGGCGGGGCGCTGGGGGAGAAGGGGGAGTGGGGGGCGGGCGGGGAAGGGGCTGAGCGCCGTGGGAGGGAGCGAAGGAGCAGGCGAGAGAGTGAGCGGGGCATTTCTGCGCAGCTCGAGTGCGCCTCGCAGCCCGCCCGGGCGGCCGCCGGACGCAGCGACCGAGGGACACTCGGTGCCCGGAAGCCGCGCGCCGCCGCAGGTCAGCCGCCTCCTCGGCCCGGGAGCCCACGCTCCGCTCTCGCGCGTGAGAGCCGGGCTGTCGCCAAGGCTGCGGGCACTGTCCACGACCCGGAGCTTCCAGTTGTGTCTTTCGGTACTGGCGTGGGTACGTGTGTCGGGGTCCGCGTCTCTGGGTGTGTGTTGGGTGTGAGTGCTCGTGAGCCCATGGGTTTGTGCAAGTGCATGCTGGGGTGTGTGCGCGCGTGTACGCGAGTGTGTGAGCCGGGTGTGCCTCTGCGTGCGTGAGGGGTGTGCCCGGCGTGTCCCGGCGGTGTGGGTTGGGTGGTGTGTGTGTCTGGGTGAGGGTCTGGTGTCTGCATGTGTGTCTCCGCGATGTGCCCGTGAGAGGGTGTGTCCGAATGTGCAGCAGTGTGTGTACCCCTGGGTGAGGCCGTGTGTCAGTGGCTTTGCTTGTGGCCAAGTGTGTGTGTGTGGCTGTGTGCGCGCCGGTGTGACTCCCCGTGAGTGCGCGTGTGAGGGCGGGTGTGTGCCCGCGTAGCCCCGTGTAGCCCCGTGTGCGTGTGCGCGGCTTTGTCTCGGCACTGCCGGGAGGAAGGGGTGGGGGCGGCGGCCGAGTCGCTGTGTTCCCCGGAGCCGGGCACCTGGCTGGGCTGTGGGCAGCGGTGGGGGTGGCCAGGAGGGAGGAGACTCCCCGCTGGCAGGTGGGCAGCCACACCCGGGGCCTAGGGAGCCGGGCTGGCAGCGCAGCCCACATGGGGCAGAGCTGGAGCAGAGGGCGTGTCCTGCCCCAATCCCCGATGTGTGTGCGAAGGATGGGTGGAGGGGTGTGTGTAGAGCTGGGTACATGAAGGTGTGGGTGTGGACGACAATGGTCCCGAGGCTGGTGACCCAGCCTGTTCAGAGATCAATTTCCTTGTCGTGGCCCAAGAACTGTCACCCAGGGCCAGACCCAGCTTGACCAGGTCAGCAGCTCTCCTCTCTCTCTCTCTCTCTCACTCTCACTCTTGCCAAACAGCAGCAGTTCCAGTGCTGTAAAACCTTTAAGAGGGAGAATCAGGCTCTTATGTGTATTTTATCAATGAACAGTGCCTATGGTGTCTCTTGATGTATGTGGCATCTGTTTTTTGTAAGTTCGATATATTTATTTTTAATGTATGTATAATAGGTGTTTGTATCCTAGTGAGTCTGTGCATGTGGGCTTGCAAGTGGCCTCACCCTGAGGAATCCCCTGTCAGGAGATGACCCTACTTTGAGAGAGATGTCTTTTGAGTGTCTGCACCTTCATGTATTGGGATCTGCATCCATTTCTAGATCTGTAGTCTGTTCCCATGTGTGTTCTCCTGTGCATTTCCTGTGTATTTGGCTGTATATGTGTGTTTTATCAATGAACAATGACTATGGGTATCTCTTGATGTGTGTGGTATCTATGTTTTATAAGTTCTTGTATATTTGTTTTTATGTATGTATAATAGGTGTTTGTGTACTAGTGAATCTGTGCCTGTGGGTTTGCAAGGGAAGTGCCATTTTGCTGCCAACTGGAATAGGATTTTTTTTTTTTTTTTTTAATCTGCCCAGGGCCACACTATTTTAGCAAAAGTAAGTGAAAAGGAAGTTTGAGGATTTAGTTCCTGGCTTTGTGGTTTTTGAATATTAGTACTGAAATATAAGTACATTGCAGTTTGACAGGGATACAAGGGTAGAGAAAAATTAAGAATCTTGCAGAAGGAAGGAATTGCTCTGGGAGAAGGACATGCAGTACAAGACTTCTTCCTTCAATTACAGTTCTTCCCTGTTTGCTGTATGGCTTGCCAGGATAAGTGCACAGGAACTGGAATGTAAAAGAGGGAACTGAGAGTGTAAAAGGAAGGAAGGTGGATGGGTGATAGAATTGGAGGCCAATAGCAGATTTCTGCAATTCTTACAATGTTTCTCTGCCAAAGGCAGCAGAGTCTAGAAAAAACTGAGCTTGTCTCCTTCTCTTGGCTCTCAGGACAAGGGAAGGGCTCTGTGCGGGTGCTCAGGGGCCCTACAGTCTGGTCCAGAGGTCTCCTTTTGACTTTGATCAAAATCCCTTTGTAGACTTATTTGCTCATCCAATACATTTTTATTAAGCGTATCTTATGTTAAAGAGTCTAAATTCCCTAAGCCCCTGTTTTCTGGCTGAGCAGTTAGGAGGCTGGATGGGGATCTTTGAGGCCCCTTCCCTTGCTCAGAGTGGTCAAGAGAATCTTGCTACCCAATTTAGAATCCACCCATCCTTTGCCCAAGGACCCTGGCCAGGATCCAGATTCACCATCCTTAACCTCTCTCTGTCTTAGAATAGTGGTTTTCAAAGTGTGATTGATTCTAGGTTGAAACATCGGGAGAGACCCCCTCCAGCCCCTTACACATGTATATCTGGAGTGTGTCTCAAAGTCCAGTATGGTAGGTAGGAGTTCTGGCTTCGAGTCCCAGGTTTTTCTTGTGATCACTCTTGTACTTGCTAATGCTCTTTGACCCTGGCTCCATGACAGTGACTGTCTTGGGTCAGATTCTCTATATGGTAATTCTGGGCTGTATTTTGTTTTTCTAGAATTTACCTTGACCTACATGCCTTTGCCAGGTCCAGTCCTTGTCTACCCACTCTTCTGAAACCAGCCATTCTGGCACTCAGGCACCATGAGTTTTTTTCGCCTCTGGGATTTTGCACACGGCATTCCCTCTGTCTAGCATATTCTTCTCTTGCTTCTTATCTTAGTGAACTTACACTCCTCAGATTTCACCATAACAGTCATTTTCTCGGGGGAGCATTTGCCAACTCCCTAGGCTAAATCAATTTTTCCTGGTATACGTTCTTAGAGCTTGCTGTTTCTCATAGGTCTTATGCAAGTTTGTAGTCATACATGAACTTATTAATCGTTTAGTTGCCTCACTCAGCTGTAAATGTCATCTGGGCAGGAACTTGTTTATTAATCTTTCTAGTGTCCCATACAGTATCTAGTTTATGCGTTATAGCCAACAAATTTTTTAAATCAATTAATTTATAAAATGGGAAATGACTTTAAATGCCAACCAAAACAGGGCAAAGACTTTTCTCAGGCAAATGTATCTGTCCTTTTAACTGTACGTCTTCTGGCCCTTATCCACAGGTGGCTCCTCCTTACACAGCAGGGATATGTATCAAGATCCCTAATGGATGCCTGAAAGCATGGATAGTACTGAATCCTAAATATAACATGTTGGAACTGGGGAGATGGCTCAGTGGAATAAGCGCTTCCCTGGCAAGCGCAAGGGTCTGAGTTCAATCCCTGGTTCCACACACACACACACACAAAAAAAAAAAAAAAAAAAAAAAAAAGCTAAATATACCATGTTTTTTTTCCTATTAAGTTGAGAACTTTTCACTTTTTAATTTAAAAGAAGAATTTTATGGCTTCTCTTAAGCATATCCAAACTGCTCACCTCACTATTCTTATGTTTTTGGGGCCATTATTATGTGAAAAGAAAAAAAAAAGGATTGTATACAAACATTAGGATACAAACACAATAGTTGACATGGTAGCTATTGATCTAAGATGGCTACTAAGTTACTATTGGGCAGGTAGGTTATACAAGGAGAATACTGGATGAAAGATGATTTACATCCCAGGCAGGACAGAGCAGAATGGTGTTAGATTTCATCATGCTGCTCAAAAGGACTTCAACTTTAAATTTATGGATTTTGTTTGGGGGTTTTTTGGTGGAACTGGGGATTGAACTCAGGACCCTGTGCTTGCCAGGCAAATGCTTATTCTACTAAGCTATCTCCCCGGCCCTATGGATTGTTTATTTCTGTAATTTTCCACTTAATACTTCCACACTGTGGTTGACTATAGGTAACCGAAACCATTGACAGTCAAGCTTCAGATAGAGCACTGCTGCAGTAGTTGTTAGGACTGACTCTGGGGTCATTTAGGCTTTGCCATGTACCAGCTGCGTGGACTTGAGCAAATAATTTCATCTTGCATTTTCTTAGCTATAAAACAAGATCATTAATAGTCTCTGTTTCAAGGGACTGTTTTGAGAATTAAATGAGGCAACAGGTATAGAATGCTTAGCATGGTATGGACACATTATAAACAATTGGTAATGTTATAAATTATTACTCTTGTGACTACTCCACACTTTAGTTCAACATTCCTGAGTGGCTTTGTTTGGGGCCTTAGGCCCCAGGAAGAGAAATGAATGCAACAGTAGTCACACACTATAGGTAGGGGCAGCCGTACCACAAGGACAAGGTATAAGGGGACAAGGTATGTGGTTACTTGTGGAGGAAAAGACTTCATGCAGAACAGAGATGGTGTTTGGATTAAATTTGGTCTTCTAGCTAATTGGGACAGAATGCTCAAAGGCAACGTGGCTTGTTAGGGGAAGATAGTTCCCTGTGGTTGGAGCAGAGGTGGTGGGTGGTGGGGAGTACATGGGGTGAGAGCCCAGAGACAAGGCTGAAAGAAAGGTTAGGGTCAGATCAGGCTAGAGCTCCACCAAGTACCACAGGTGGTAGGCAGCTAGGGAAGAGAATGGAGCCGACTGGGAAGGATCGGATTTGCATTTCAAAAACAGCTCTGCAGGTGGTGGTAGAGGATGACTGAGGGCAGAAGGGGAGGATTGTTGACCAGGACACTGGGAAGGGCTGCTAAACAAACTTGGTGGGAAGCCCGCCAGGTTGGATAGAAGCCACGTGACAGTTTGCTTTCTCAAGGGCCCCCAGGCCTTCTTAAACCCTCAGAGCTGCCAGAAGAGTGCAACTCTGAAACCAGAGTGTAAAAGTCACGGGTCTGTTACTCAAAGGACACATTAATGAGCTAGGGCTACTGTGAGGGAGTACTGCAAACCAGAGAGCTTAGAGCCATAGAAATTTACATTGACAAGACTGGATGTTAGAAGTCTGACATCAGCCATCCTCAGGGTTGGTTCCTTTTGGAGGCTGGGGTAAGTTCCAGGCTTCCCTTCTAGCTTCTGAGAGTTGCCAGTCGTGCGTGAGCCTTGGCTTGCAGCTGTATCTGCCACAGTTATCACATGACTTTCTCTCTGCATCTCTGTGTCTTTTCCTTCTCTTATAAAGGCGTTGGCCATATTACAGGAGGCTTAGGACCTACCCTCATTTTAACTTAACTAATTACATCT